TGTGCAGTGTGCAGCTGGCAAGGAGCAAACAGACCCTAAACAACCTCTGCTGAATCATCTGTTTTCTTGGAGGCTTCTCACAGCTTCTGGGGACATTCTGGGGAGGGACGTGGGAGCAGATCCCCATCTCTGTGTCTGTCATATAATTGCCCAGAGCAGAGGCAAAGATCTACCCCATGAGCAGGGGGCTTGTGCAGCTGCACTGACCTGCAGCTCTCCAGCCCCAAAAAATTCCTTGGAGCTGCTTATTAACACACTGACAACTCTGCTCTGGAGAGTTGTCACAGCACGCTGAGGTAGGAGGCAGGACAGTTTGACAGTATGGCCTAAATACCCCTGTTTACAAAAAGTCTGACAAAACACAAGCCCTTGGCTTTATCTTTTCCCATTTGGAAATAGTCACCAAGCAAATATACTCAAGGCATGAAAGGAGGGGGGTTTATATTGACTTTAGAAAAAGCTGTTCTTTAAAAACAGGAAAAAAAGCTCATCCCCGAGCTGTGCAGGCTGGCTGTGAGACCCAAAAGAATCAACGTAGGGGCTTAAAGCATGCCTGCTAATCTGTAGCAGTTCTGTGTGAGCAAGTCATGCAGTAAACTGCTCTCTGTTAATTTTTTAATGCAGAATAAACAGGTCAAGGAATGATTAGCATGAGAATAAGTTGAGCTTAATTGAGAGAATCAGAAAAGATGAGAGGGAAGAGGCAAATTGGAGTTATCAGTTAACCATACAGAGTGGCTCTGCCTCCACAAGCTCATGTTCCCTCTAGTTTATCATCCCCTCTGAAGCTGCTTTTTTTTTTCCCCCTTCCCTTACTTAAACGATCAGCTAAAATTGCTGGTACAAGCACAATGGAAGCCCTTGTTTCTCCTTCTCCTTTTCTCTCTGCAATGGCTGGCCAAATGAATTGTAGGTGATAAGGCTCCTACCTGGTTATCCCCGAGGTTCTTCCCAGAAAGGAAGCTGCTGACATTAAGTGCAAAATCCATTTTGTGCGAGTATCAGTGCTGTGCTCCAGTGCAAAATTTTCAGCATGATCCTGGGAGATCCAAGGACTGAGCAGACACGTCCATGGGCAAGGGGAAGAGCAGTCCTCGGGACTGCTTGAAGTGGAGTTTGGTCAGTGGTCGGAGATCTATATTCTCAGATAGGCAGGACTTTGTCCACAAACTGGAATTTGAAATTTCAAAGGGGAAAAAAAAAAAAGGCAGAAGGGACCTTTGCATGTGTGGAGATGACTATGCTGGTGACGTTCCCCTGGGACTTTTGTTCTTTGTCTTGTACCTGGGCTTCCTGCTTCCCCACAGCTCCCTCATGAAATGGCGACAGGCCGAGCTGGGCCTGCCCGTGCTCAAGGCTTTGCTGCTCTGCAGAGGTTTCACACCTGAGCCCACCTCTGCTTCGTGTGCATGAGGGGGAAAAAAAAAGCCATGTGAAATATTGCAGCTCTACAGTGGCCTTGGAACTGCCGACAGGGAGTAGAGCTCTGGAGCCAGGGCTGCCAGGCCGGCGATGGCATTGCCGACGAAAGCTGAGGGGGTCCTCCTGGCTCTGGGCACTGGCTTCACTGCAGGGAATTTCTTAAGAGTGCAGAGCTGTGAGAGAGAAAAGCACAGGGCAGAGGGCCCCTGGGCATGGTCCATGCTCAGAAAGCCTGCAGGCAGCCCCAGGCTGGGGTGCCTGGTCGATCCACTGGCAGGCAGAGCTGTGCCTGCAGCACGGGGGAGAGACAGGCCAGCAGGGACTGCAGCAGCATAACACACACAGGGCCACCAAAAAGACGGGCCAGGCTCCTCACAGGGTGCATGGCTGGAGATCAAGGGGTATGAAAACTGCAGAGAGGTTCTGCCAGTGTCTAAACATGAGCCCAGTCAAGCACCAGCTGGCTGCTGAGGCTGCTCTCCATCCTTGGAGGTGTTCAAGACTCAACTAGATAAAGCTGCAACGAGCCCATGCTGCTCTCACAGCTGGCCCTGCTTCCAGCAAAAGCCTGGGGCAGAGACTCTGTGGTCCCTTCTGATATCAATTATCCTCTGATCCTACAACACCCTGTTCAAGAAGCACCAGGGAGGAGCCCCTTGAGAAGAGCCTGCTTACCTGCTGGACATGCAGAATTAGCAAGCACAGTAGGTGACGGCATCCTTTCCAAAAATGCCCTATTAAATACTCTGTTCCTGATCCTCACCTATTGAGAAGCAGAGATCCTATCTTCAGGGAATCCCCTTTAGGTTTGCATAAATTTGCCAGACAGGGATATATAGATAAGGCAGAATTAGTGTCATGATGTGCCAGTGTGGGAAAGGAATTACTGCTCAACAGATAAAAATTAAATAATCACTTGGCACAGAACAGGTCAAGCTCCCGAGCTGTCATGGTCTGCTTTGCAACCATGTCCTGACCCAGGAAATGGTGGCTGGAGTGTACAGAAAACAGGGACAGGAGAGAGGAGCAGATCTGGGAGCTGAACTTCCCAGGAGCACCTAGTCTGGGAACAACCTTCACCCATCAATGGCAGTCTTCCAGCTATGAGTTATCTCTCTGTATGGAATAAAAATGGCAAAACATCTGTAGCCAGAAGTGTTTGAAACAGCCCCACAAGCAGCTGCTGACTTGAACATCTCCCAGCTAAAACAACTATAGAGCTGTGTTGGTCAGTACAAGCCATGACTGCACTGGCAAGCTGTCCCAAAACTCACCACACAAGGATGCCAGGAGAGACACCAGGGGAGACACCAGGGGTATCTCCAGCAACAGTTCCCAGGGAGCAGCCAATGCTTCCATCAGACCCCATCTCCAGGGCAAAGGAAGTGCGTGGTGTCCTTGGCTGGTCCGGCCCTCGAGCTCCACACCAACATGAGGGACTTGGGAGGGGCCACTGGTGACCCACAGAGGACACAGTCAGTGAGAAAACAACACTCAATACAGCCCTGGGTGGAAAACACCATGTCCCATTGACAGCCCAGCCTCGTGAGCCACCTGATGCTCTCCAAACTTCCCCGCTCCTTATCTCTGCTCTCCTGCACACGCTGCCTCTCTGATTTCTATTCCTGGCCCTTTTAATCCTTCCTGCCTGGGAAGTAAATGGCCTTTGCAGCCCCCTTGCTCAGCAGGCTATTGAAGCAAAAGGTTTGTTTTGCTGAGCAGCGCAGAACAGGCCCTGCTTTTACGATATTTTACTAGACACTGTAGCAAATCCTGCACATATTTGACCTGGTGTCTGTAGCATTTATCTAATCAAAGGGATCACCGTGGCCTGGCTGGGGTTGGGACTGAGGTCCCTGGGATGAGGCTATGGAAGGGGCTGTACTCTACTCTTGCATCTCCATCCCAGTGTGCACATCATAGAACCAGTTTTTAGTAAGGACTGTATCTGCCTAAAGGAAGAGCCACCAGCACATGAGCTCTGGCCTGTCCCTCAGGAGTACTGATGGAACGACTGTGTCCCCTGCAGCAAAGGATCATTTATCACCATTCCCAAGTGAGAAAGCAGGGCTCTCCCCTGTGCTCAGATTCACTCCTGCAGACCTGTAGCCTCAGGGTAGAAGAGCTGTTTAGAAGTCCTATGTAGGTCATGGTTTTGGGGGGCAAAGGGCTGCTTGAACAATTCCGTGTGCTCCTAAAGCGTGAATAGAAAATCATCACTAGCATAGCTGCCCGAAGGCATGTACTGGTGTGGAGCCAGAGACCTTGGATTCATGCTGTGGCAGTGATGGCACTGTGGCCAGGGCAGCTCGTGGTGCCAGTGGGGTTGGGGCTGCATTGGGGTGCCTGGGAAGAACAAACACAAGGCACTGGGAGCCCAGATCAGCAGCGTGTGGACTCAGTCGCCGCTGGTTGCGAAACCACGGGGCTGTTTTCAATGCAGAACAAACTGATACCAAATCATTAATTGCTGATTCTCTTGCACCATGAGCTGGTGCCATTCAGAGATCGATTAAATTCCCACTCAATGATCCGCAATTGCACTGAAAACTTTGAGTTCTGGCTGAAGTGGAGGAGTGATGTGGGGCAGCTGGGGAGGAGAGCACGGGCAGCTCTGGCCCCACTGGCCAGCACCAGCAGTGGGGTCAGAGCCCAGGTCTGGGTGAGGCACAGAACCACTGCTGGTGCTGACAGCAGACAGTGCACCCGCAGAAGGAAAGCTCCTGCCGCTCTCTGTAACCTGTCTCATGAAACTTTTATGACAGATCAGGCAGTACCTGAGGCTGGGGGTGTCCAGCACAGAGGGATTTCAGCTGTGGGACAGGAGCCACCCTGGCCATTCCCAGGGTGTCTGTGCCACCCCTCGGCCCTGCTCGCTGTTTGGGCATGGCTGCAGAATGGGATCTGTTTATAGGGCATCCAGCCCCCTGTAAAACTTGGTTTATAGGGAAGTAAAAGGAGTCATACATTTCACTTTACATAGCAACGTGTAAATTTCCAGGCAGGAGCTGACCTTCTCTGACTGTGAGGGAGAGAAAAGGAGAAGGAGTGGAAGGGATGGAGGGAGCAAGAGAAGGCAAAAACAGGGGTGTAGGCAATCAGTGGTGAGGGGAGGAAGGCAATGACAGAAGTGATGAAGAATCTTGTTGTCTCGTAGGGTTTTTTCCAAATTTTCCACCCCAGGTATAATTAAGAGCAACGCCAGCAGTTCAGCATCAAGGTCAATAGCCCTTGGCAAGTGCCTGCTCCCAAGGTGCTGCCTGCACCCAGGAGCCAGGATCAGAAACACCTTGAGATTCAATAATAAACAGTCAACAAGAATCACTGCTGCTCCACCAAAAAAAAAAAAAAAAGCTTAGCAGTATTCGGCAATGGGTGAGATGATTAAAGATTAACCCCCTGCCTCCTGCCTCCACCCCTCTGGGAGTATAGGCCTTGAGGCTCAGCAAATCCTTTCAGAGAAATATCTGAATTAAAAGACAACAGGTAGGGGACGCAGTGAAGGCAGAGGGAGGCAGGAGGGCCAATAGCCTGGGCCAAGGGAATCGGTACAATCTGGCCCGTGTTTGCCGAGGATAATGCGCCTTTCCAAAGCCCTCATAGACATGGAGATGGCAGATTACAGCGCAGCGCTAGACCCGGCTTACACCACCCTGGAGTTTGAGAACATGCAGGTGCTGGCTATGGGCAATGGTGAGTCCCCTCCAACTTCTCCCTCTGCTGGGTGGGATGAGCTGGGGGCTGCAGGAGGAGAAATCCCTGGGTTGGCCACAAAAATGTTCCCGGGGAGGGAAGGGGTGTCAGATGGGGAGCTCTCAAGGTGGGGTTCTGTTTTCCCAGGGGAAAATAGAGGGGGGAGAGCAGAGCTGTGCTTGGTACAGGCGGGATGGTGTCCTGCAGCCCAGAGTCCCTGGCAGCAGGCTGGAATGAGAAGACATTCAGCCCAGGGAATGGGGCTGGGACTGAACATGGTGGGGGTCTCCCAGACCCAGCCAAAATTTCTGCCTGGAGTGCTGTTGATGGTTCAGACAGACAACTGACCCTGTGCCTCCAGAGCTGAGAGCCAGTCCCTGGAGCAGAAAGGCATTTAGCACCTGGTAAGGGTGAAAATCACTGTCAGAAGTGATTTAGGCACTGCCGCTGCAGCAGTACCTAGTACTTTCCTAGTACAGCACTGGAATGTGGGGTGGCATCCCCCTCTCCTGGCTCAGCCCCCAGTCAGAGGACAAGGGGACCTTGAGAGGATAGACAAATGTTCCCATCCCTTCAGGAGGGTAGCATCACACCTAACCCTGCAGAATTCACAATGCTGGCCCATCCGTTTGGGGACCAAAGAGTCTTGGTGATTAAATGCTCAGAGATAGCAAGAGATTCCTCTCCAAGTCCCCCCTAAAGTCTCTCTAAATATGAGGTTAATGACTAAACAAAGCCATAGAAAGTGGCTCTGAGCCCTTTCCCTCCAGCCCAGGACTGCTGGGCACCTCTGTCCCAGAAGGGCTGTGCTGGCTCTGTGGACTCTTCCATCACAGCCTGTGTGGGTCTTCCCTGGGTTATGGCTCTGCTCTGTCAGGGTTGTAACTCTGAGGTGCCAAAGTGGCTCTGCTGTGCAATAATCCCCCACCACTCTGGGTCCCAGCCCCTTCTCCACTCCTGGGGGCTGGTCCTATCCCTTCAGGTGCCTCTGGGCCAAAAGTCCCCCCCTGGATAGCTTTGCTGCTATCCATCTGGACACTCTGGGACAAGCTCAGGCATTGCTTCCTCCCCATGCCCCTCTCCCATCCAGGGAGCATCTGCACAAGGGGCTGTGATCTGCCCTCCCTGGACCCAGGGCTCTGTGGAGCAGAGGGACAGGAGAATTTCCTGTGACAAGATCCAGTGTGCTGTGACACTCCAGGGGTGGATGAGTCAGCTGGGGCAGGCAGCACCAACTCCTCTCCTCCTGGGCCCAGCTCCAGGCCAGGGACAGCCCTTGCTTCCAGGGCTGTTTTGGCACTGCAGCAGCTGCCCTGGAGGACACACCTCCTGCAGGACCTCCACCTGCAGAACCTGTGCCTCTTTTTCTGGCCAAGGACTGCTCAGAGCCCAGCCACCGCGTGCCACAGCTCTGCAGCTCAGCTCCGGGGCTGCTGCTCAGCAGGGAGCAAGTTTGTCTCTCACAGGCAAAATGCATCCTGTGCTCAGACAGGCTCAGGGACCTCTTGAGCAGCTCCTGTCCTAACACACAGCTCAGCTGAGAGGTCTCAAAGTCAGATTTTTTCTTTCTTCCATTTACCTTAACTCCAACCACTTGACTGCAGCAGTCAGAGCCCACATTTTTGGCATGTATTTGTCAGAATAAACTTAATTGGAAAATTATCCATTAGGCAATAATTTCTTTGTTGTTGACTATTAGACTGAGATGTTGCAATTTCTTTGATAAGAGTGCCAGTTTTTCCTGCTCTATGTTCATCTGATTACAGCCTGATAGATTGCTAAAAAGGGATTTATCTGGGTTGCCACAGATATACAAGTAATGGGATTACAGGCAGATCAGCTCTTCCTCTCACATCTAAGTCCTATGTTTAGCTGGAACTGGGAATTTGACTTTCCTTCTGGAGTGAGCTGCATTTAGCTGAGCCCTCAGGATATGCATGGAGGAAGGCGGTTTTCAGAAGCAAGCTGCTCACAGGGACAAAAGACAGCCAGAACAGCCTTGGGAAAGCTCAGGGCTCTGGGTGTGGAGACAGGAGCTTTGCACTGGTGACAGGGTGTGCCAGGCAGGGACACAGACAGGCAGCAAAGTGACTCACAGAGAAATACAGGAGGGACACGAGGAATTGGAAAGACAGAAAGCAGGCAGGGAAATGAAAGAAGTTATCAGAGGTAGGGAGCTCAAGAACCCCTGTGCTCACTCACTGCTGGTTCAGTGCCAGTAACTCCTGCTGAGGGGTGGCAGGAGCAGGATGTGCAGCACCTGCTGAAATACCCCTTTCTCTGCAAAACAGAAGCTAAAAATGCAGCCCTGCCCCAGCCAGACTTGCCTTGGCCCCCCCAGCACCACAGCTGGGCTGCCATGGGGAGCCCAGCTGGGACCAGCCCTTCTGCTGGGTGCCAGGTGGGAGCAGCTGTGGTCCTTCCAGGGTGAGCCTTAACTGAGTCCTTACAAAAACCCAGAAATCAGGGGCCAATAGACTCAAGCATTAAAAATCCCAGCAGGTTTCTATAGCTTTGTAGATCCTGGGTATGATTTGTGACTGGCATTTCCACTGAGGGAGGGGGATGTGCCTGTGCTGACACAGAGAAACGTACATGGGAGGGGACAATTAGATCAACTGAATTAAGGGCTGATCCCTTCAGCCTTGAGGTTTGTTTGGCTTGCTGGAGGGGTTTAGTGTAGCCCTTGTATGGTTTTTAGCCTTTCAGATGTTCTTTCCTCCAGAGCCTGCTGCAATTCCCTATCCTCCAAAAAAAGCCCTGCAAGTCCCAGTCCCCCTTGGTCTGTAAGGACTGCAAGACAAATCAATTTCCACTGTGATCCTACCAGACTCTAGAAGATACCCAGCATACAGCCTTCTCCATGCCAGAGTGACACCTTTTTTCTTTAATCAGTCCTTCCTTGCATGGGAAGCCTTGCCCACATGAGTTTTCCAGCTGAAGTCATTTGAGTTTGCTATTTACCTAAAGTCTTGTTTTCCCAAAGAAGGGCTGTGCAGGCTGGAGCTCCATGCCTGGACAAGGGAACTGTTCACCTCATCTGCTCAGGGCTGTCTTGGGCTCTTTCAGTGCTATAACACAAACACCTCCCTAACAAATCAGCTGCTCACCCTGAGCGGTAATACCTCAGCTTTAACTCTGCATCAGCTTTTGCTCTGGCCACACTACTGCAGCCCAAAGTGTCTGCAAATCCCCAAGGCATTCTGGCTCTGCTCTGTGACTCCTGCAAATGGGCTTCCACTTTATCTGAAGGCATTGCTGCAGCCAGGCCTTTGGGAAGAGGGGTCTCACCATGGAATACAGCAAGTTTTGGTGCACCCAAAATGCAATTACTTAAGCGCTGAGAGCTTACAGCCTCTCTCCTCACACACCTCTCACACAGCCAGGCTGCAGCTGCCTGGTTTCTCCAAGTCTCTGACTCTAGCTGAGTTAGCAAATGTTGGCTGGCTGTCTCACTGTCCTCTTCTTGCTGTGTCCTTCCCCAAGCAGACACGTCTCCATCAGAAGCAGCCAGCCTCAGCAGCTCCAGCAGCATTGGGGTGAGCACGCTGTGTGCCATCTGCGGGGACCGCGCCACCGGCAAGCACTACGGGGCTTCCAGCTGCGATGGCTGCAAAGGCTTCTTCAGGAGGAGCGTCAGGAAGAACCACATGTACTCCTGCAGGTGAGGACAGAGGGCACACACACGCATGGCTCAGACAGGACAGCCCCTCACAGCTCAGGCAAAGCCCTCAAAGTGCAGCAGCACTGCCCTTCATCCTCTTCATCCTCCCTGCATCCTCCTCCATGTTCCCAGAGCTAAGCCCTCAGCTGGGAGGGGTCAGTGACTGCCCTGACTTTGGGACTGCTCACTGGGGAAAGACCCTGGAAGGTCTTGACCCATATTTTAGGGGCCAAGCACATGTTCTTGCAAATGGGTATAGCCAACCATGGATGTGGCCAGCAAGCAGCAAGGTGCCAGGGGAGAAGCCCCATTTCAGGGACTTAGCACCTCCCTGCTCAGTGCAGCACAAACCTCGCTCTCCCTGGGGGCAATCCTTCTCCGTCACCAGATGGATGTGTGCCTGCCATCCAGCTACAATGCTGTCACTGCCTGTGACATGACACAAGAACACCTGAGGAGCACCATGAGGGGCAGAATTACATGCACTTTTCTGAGGATGGGGCACTCGTGTTGCTCCTGAAATTCATGCACTGCACCTCGTGCCATTGGGGGTAGCCCATGGGTCTCTTGTGCCATCAGCAGCTGTGACCTGCCTGCTGCTGGCATTGAGCAACTCACTTGTAGGGAGTCACAAAGGAAACTGAAGAATCCTCAGTTCACAGTGTCTAAATCCCTTGGGCTTTTTGAGTCAGTTACTCCTGATGGCCTCACAGCCACTTGGAGAGCATGAAGAGCAACATGGCTCTAAAACCTGAGTGACAGAAGGAAGCCCCAGGTTTATGAGTGCCTGTGAAGCACATCATCATTTGCACCCCAGGGTTATTTAAGGTGGCTGCCCACGGAGCCCCCTCCCCACAGCTCCATCAGAAAAGCCAAGGTGCCCAGTTCTTTGGAAGCTGAGGCTTTTATATGCACTACAGGAATATTTTAAAAACTGCTTTCAGGCATCCATTTGGGCAAATCATAGCTTGGGATCTTTAAAAAGCAGAGTAGAAGGAAGCCCTTTCAAAAGCTACAGAATTCAGCATGGCTGGGAGCCCTTCTCCAGCTCTGTAGTCCTTTGTCTTTACTCTGCAAACTGGATCAATCTGCTGTAAAGTAGAGCAAATTTGCAAGTGAAATTCATGCTGCAAGTGGCCACCAGGCTTGTGAGTCACACATATGGGAGATCAGTTTTCCCCACCATGTGCTGGGGATTTGGTGACACAAGCCTGGAGGGAAGGAGCTGGTTCCTTCCCAAGTCCTCTCTGAAGTGCAAGTGGCAGCAGAGCAGTTTGCAGAGCAGCAATGCTGTCCAGAAGGTCAGAAACAACCTCTGAGAATCCCAGACACAGATCTGGAGAGATGCAGGGACTTAAACTGACTTCTTAACCTCACCAATGGGTTACTACAACCTTCCACCTCTTTTTAAAATTCACAATAAAGGCATTTTTCCTTTCATTCTACTGGGGTCTAACTTACAACTTCCAAGTTGGTTCTGACCCTCCTAGATCACACTTTTAACTTCCCTGGGGTTTGTTAGCCCACTATAGACATCCTATCCCTAATGGTTACTGAGTAGTCTGAGCTCTTTCATGTGACTCAGTTCTAGTCTGTCCTTATTGACCATCCAGAGGCACAGGGGAGAGCTGAAATTTTGGTGCAAAAAGGAAACCACAGGCTAAAGAGTGCAAAAATCACAGCCTGGGGCTCCTTTCTCAGGGTGAGCCTCTGGGAACCTTCTCTGAGCATATCTTGGAGCTTGGGACTCTGTCTTGTCCTGCCTTCAGGCTCAGCCTTGCCGCTCCTCACACTTTTCTTTCTTCCTTCTTTCCCAGGTTTAACAGGCAGTGTGTGGTAGACAAAGACAAAAGAAACCAGTGCCGGTACTGCAGGCTGAAGAAGTGCTTCCGAGCAGGAATGAAGAAGGAAGGTGGGTGCCTGTGCCTTCCCCCAGCAGCAGTCCCTGGCGCTGCCTGGGTATGTTTGAGGAAGCCCTTCAGCCAAGGCTGGTCCCTGCCAGGTGCACACTTGTCCAGCCACCTCAGCCCTGTGTTCCCTGCACAGTGCCCTCCTGGGCACAGATCCTGACCCCCACCACAGGGGGATTTAGGGAGAATCCATGCCTGTGTCTCAGAACTGCCCATGTTTGTGCACACAATCACACCCAGGGCTCTCCAGCTCACTCTTGCTCACACTGACACACACAGCACCTGGGCTCCCACACTGCAGTCCACTGGAGGGGTTTGGGAATGCTTCTCCACATCACTGAGGAGCAGAAACTTCGAAGAGGGCCTGGGAATTTGGAAAGACTTTGGTAAAACTGCTCCAAGTGCTGTTATCCCAGAGTGACCACAAAACCCACAGCTGGCCAGCAGAAGTCACACTGACATTTTGCACCTTTTTTTTCCTGATAGATATATAGGTTCTTGCTGACCATCTGCAGAGAGGCAGTGAGTTTAGTTTAAAGAAAGGATCCAGAGTAAAGTGGAGCATTTTTGCTATTTAACTGTGTGAAAAGAGTAGAGATATCCCTACATGGCCCATGCTCACCCCCTCAGCTCCCCACCTCTCTGTCTCTGCAGCCCTTACAGGTCCCCATGGCAGGATTCTCCCCTTGTTTAGTCCTGTTTTGAGAAGGGACAGGAGAACCTGGTGGCTTTGATGGTGCTTCTGTTAGAGGAGGGACAAACTGCCAGGGGCAGAGGCATCCCACAGAGCTCACCCCACTTGTGTCTGCAAAGGGACAACTGGGAGGCATTCAGCCCTGTTATTCCATGCAGGGAAATTAAACCCCATGCTCCTCCCAGTTCACACTGCCTCAAGAAGAAACTTTGGAGTAAAAGGGTCCTTGAAGACAACAGGGAAGTACCAGTGGTACGTTGGTGGCTGCAGGAAGACCTCTGAGCAGGAACATTTATTCCCTGTAAAAGGGGATGAGGTATCACAAGCAACTTTTCTTGCCTTTTCCTGAAGAATATAGGAATCCTCCTCTCCATGCAGCTCATCCCCTGCCCAGAGCTGTGCTGTTGTCTGTTAATATTCAATAGAAGTTACATTAGGTGCATGACCAGCTAATACTGAGCAAACATTTGGAAAACATCATGGCATGACTGAACTCAGGGGCCTGCTACTGATAACAAGCAGCATAACCTTGAGAGCTCCTATTTACAGCCGCTGACTGCAGGGCTTTTCTCCTGGCCCAGCCTCATTATTGCTTTTTATCAGGTGGATTTATACATGGAGAACGTATCAATCCAGAGAGCCACCAGCCCAAGGCAGGGACTGTGCTGTTTCCCCTGCCATGGATCAATAGCTTATTTGAGCAGATGGCTCTGAGTGGCGTGGCCAGGGTGAGTTACAGCCAGCCCAGGCCTCGTGACAGACAGAGCAGGCAAGTCCTCCCCCTCAAAGCCCTCAAGACTAGACCAAACAGAGGCACACTGGGGTCAAACCTGTCCTGGGATGCTTTTACAATAAGGTATGAGAGCTCTTTTGCTCTGGATGGATAAGCAGGAACAGTTTTGCACTTCCTTCCTTATTGTAGTTGAGACAGAAGTTTTCCAACTACACCTTACCCAGTGCAACAGCTTTTCTGAATGGAGCTCACAGGAGTCATGTGGGCAAGGAAACCTTGCAGATACTCTTCCATTTCACACATCAGCTTTGGGCTGCATACATGAGCATGGCCACCGTTTCAAACCCCATCTCATGAAATCAAAAAACTCTGATTCTTTGCCAGGAAAATTTCCCCACTGAACTCTACAGGTGTTTGGGTTTGAATCAACCCCATCCCTGGAAAGTCTAATAAAGCAAATAAGAAATCAGATCCACCAGATGCAGTCAGCTCTCGCTGGAATCCATCCCAAACCAGACACAGCTGCACCTCCACCCTGCCTGGCATGGAAGCTGGGAAACTGCAGTTAAGGAAGGGGAACGCCAGAAGTCTGTGCTAGTTTTCAGTGTGCATTGCCATGAACGACCTGCAGCTCAGCCAAAATCCTCTCTTGCAGCTGTACAAAATGAACGGGACCGAATCAGCACCCGCAGATCGAGTTACGAGGACAGCAGCCTGCCCTCCATCAATGCCCTCCTGCACGCAGAAGCCCTGGCACAGCAGGTACCTCTTCTCCCTTCTTTATCAAATACAAAAGCATCAGGCACTACCTGGAGTGTAGAGCCAGCAGAGTATTTAATAGCCAAGTCTTCAAATTATCACCTCTTTTCTAAGTGGCTTATCTGCCAACTCAACACTGATTTTTCAAAAAGCATTTGTTACCTGAAACCATCCCTTTAAATTTCCTTAGTCCAGAACTCAGTTGTAACAATATGAAGTGATTTGTTCTGCTTTAATGGGACACAGGAAGGCTGGAGAGCCTGATGGAAGAAAGTAGAGCAGAATCATTGCAATCCAAAGAGCTGTGGCTGCCTAAGCCCACGAGGGGCTGGCCTTGCATGAGCAGCCTCCCTTCCCCATGAGCTGTTAGGAACTTTGGATTCCTGCACAGTTTCACAAGGAATCAGTTTCCTGCTTGTTTTATGCAGATACCTTTTCCAGTGTTGCCTGAAATTCCCTGTTTCCACTTGCAGACTGCCAAGATTCATTTCCTAGAGTGTTCACATTGCAGAGATGACTCTGATTTAAGAGGCTGGATACTGCAAATGGTGTACACAGCTCTGGGAAGACACAGGACAGGATGGGCACACACAGCCTGCAGGGAGGGTTTGGCTGTGAGAACAAGTGATGAGGATGGAGCTGTGCTGGAGGCAGGAGCTGCCACTCTTCATGGAGCTGGGGAGAACAGAACTCTGTGTCCTGGGGAAGATGAACAGGGGGTTGAGCTGCCTCAAGGGTCACAATGCCCTGAAGGCTGCCCTGGGAGATGCTCCAGGACAGGACGTGCTGTGCTCTGGGCTCCACATGAGGCTCAGGCTGTAAGGTCCACTTCCCCAAGGAGGGGATATGCCAGAATGGCCAAGGGCCAATCTTGTACTCGAAAAGCGCATCCAGTCTCATCCTACATCTCACCTTGTCCTATGCAGGCCTGAATATATTTATATACCCTATAAAAATAAGATTGATGCTGCTCCCAGAGGTGTGAGATAATGGAGTCTCGAGTCACCAAATCTACAAGGGAAGGACATTTCTGGGGCTCAGAATCCTGCAGTGCCATCACATGAAAGCAGGGTTTGCTGACAAAAACTACAATCATGGACAAATCCAGGGGAGCTTCTGCTCTCCCACAGAGCACAGAGAGATTCATTAAACAAGGCAGGCTCCAGCACGGTAATTGGTAACTTTTATGTGCCTTGCTAATTAGAACAAGATACTGCTGAGGAGCTGCTTTCTCCAAGATCTAGGGTCACTCACCCAGAGGTCTTTATTTATTTGCTAAGCCTTCCGGGCCCTCTGATTAGGGTAATACATGGTGAGATTTTTACAATCTTATTTATTCAATAATAGCTGGTGAGCTGGAAAGCCTCCAGGTAATGCAACCTGAAAAAAAAAATGCAGATGGCATTTGAATTCCATTTCCTTGGGGAGGCCAGCAGGGTCCAAGCTGAAAATGCTGGCAGGAATAGGGCAGGAAGAGTTGATGTTGTACAAGAGCACAGAGGGCAGGCAGAGGGCAGTGATGGGGTTGAGTTAATTGCTTACAGAAGCATGAGGATAAAGTAGTGACTAAGGGCAAATTTTTAGATGACCTGGGTGAGCAGCTAAGCATGAGAACCAGGCAGGAGGTTGGGTGCCTGGTTTGGGGGAGATGTTCTGTCCAGCTCTGTGTAACAGTACTTGCAGAGTTGTCAGGGTTGTCCTTTGCAAATGAAGTGGCAATCACAAATAATTTGCCATGTAACAAATGTCACCCATGTTGTGGGCATGTCTGAACTTGCCCAGTTTTGCCCAAAGGACCTAAAAGCCAATGGGAGGTGGGAGACTGTTATCTTTAAAGTCTGCCCTTTGCTATTCAGAATGGGTGATGTCAAATGTTAATGATCTGGTGCTCACAGAAAGCAATGTCAGACCTAGAAAGCTGTGGCCTGGTGAGCTCATGATGACTCAGGAGAGGAGCAGAGCCTGCTCTCCTCCTGTGGAAAGCAGACATGGCAGCCTCTGGAGCAGGCTGGAAGGGGGAGCAGCTCCCTGCACTTTGGTGGGACCAAGTGCAGCAGCACTGGTGGATGTGTCCTTTCTACTGGTGAGGCTGACTGCCACACAAGCCCCTCTGTTCCCTCCTGGATCTTGACTGGGCACACTTGTTCAGTGGGAGGAAGATCCTGGCTTTAGGAATTTTTCCTCTGTGCTTTCCAGTCTATTCAAGGCTTTGCAGTTTACCAAGATGATCCCCAGCCTCTGCTCTGCAGCGTTTCATGTTCACAGATCCCCAAGCTGATCTGAGTTTAAATGAGTCTTGTTGGGTCACCTGTTCTGGGAGCTGTGTGCTACAGAAAAAATGTAATTATAATTTCTGGAGTCTGCATCAACAACCCATGAGCTGGGGATTTTCCTCTCTGTGGTTCCTCTGTGGTACTGAAAGCTGAAGGATGTCTTCTCTCCTTCCAGATATCATCCCCAGTTCCTGTGCTCAACGGAGACATCCGAGGGAAGAAGATTGCCAATATTTCCGACGTGTGTGAGTCCATGAAGCAGCAGCTGCTGGTGCTGGTGGAGTGGGCCAAGTACATCCCCCCATTCTGTGAGCTGCCCCTGGATGACCAGGCAAGTCCCGCTACCCACCCCACCTCGCTCTGCCCTGGTAAGGGCAGCAGGGAGCCAAAACCAGCTGAGACCTTCAAAGAAAATGCTCATTGTGCACTCTGTTATCCTGACTGCTGCAGCTGATTGGGAGCAGCATCCATACAATGCCAGCACAGACCAGACATCCATACAATGCCAGCACGGGCCACTTGCATGTGCTGCTAATCAGCCCATGAGCACAGCCAGATAACACTGAGCTTGAATTAGGTCGTTATCAGATGAGCATTTTGGGGTCAGCCAGTCATTTATTAATTATGGTTTGCACAGCACTTTGAAAACCTGAAGTGCTTGACAAATGCTTGGGGTAATCGGAATTAGCAGGAGAGATTTCTGGCCTAAGGTCTGCCCAAAATTTAAAACCTGCCTGTCTCTTGCTGCTTCTTGCCTAGGGGTATGTTTGTATCCATGCTCCCAGTGTGGAATTTTGAAGCTATACACTATTTTGCTCCCATGGCAGTAGAAAATCCTTTTTCCAGGATTAAAAAGCAAGGATATATTTGCATTTAACAGAAATTACTAAAATGGCATTTGTGAGCTCCCTAATGAAGATAAGCACAGTGGGCTTGGTGTGCTCTGTAGAACTGCAGTGCAGGATTCCAGGCAGCCTCAGAGAGGTAAAGGAGAGGCCTCCCGTGGATGTCTGAATTTCAGAGGTCTGCAGCAGGTGTTGAAGGACATGATGTGTGCCCAGCCTTGAGCAGCACATGTGGCTGGGATAGCACTTCTGGCAGGGCCAGCACAGGTCCTGTCACAGGTAGGGAGGGACTTCCAGTCTGTCCAGTGTACAGTCACAACACCAGTATGTGTTCTCTTCAGCTAGGACCAGTCTCCAGCCCTATTGACCTAGAGGTTATTTTTATATAATGAAGAAAAAGGATATCCATTTGAGAGTGTCCAGCTGATCAAAACACCCTAAATCCTAAATCTGAGCTCTTTAGTAACCACCCAGCAGCACCCAGAGCTCTGGGGAATTCTGTGCTCTTAAAATGGGAGAATGGTTGCTTCTTTTTTACTGTGTGAAAGTACTAAATTGTTTAAAATTATAAGAAATCTGTTAAACTGCTAAGGAAAATGCAGTTCATAATTTATGGAAACCACAATGGACTCCAATGGCAAATGCCAGTTACACAGCATATACAAATGAGCAGTCTGCAGCCTAGCACAGACCTGGGGCAGCTCTGCACAACCCATCACATCCTTCTGCCATTTGGAACAGAGGCCCTAAACCTGGCCAATAACTCTGCAAACTACAGCAACTTCCACATGAGCTCATTTTACAGTTGTGGGGCTGCAAAATTCCTCAAAGGAGAAAACAGAGCCTAAAGATGGCACAGTTTGAACCCTGCCTTCCCACAAGGAAGAGGCTGCTCCATGAAACAGATCTCCTTTTGTAGAAAAGATCACACCCAACCTCTCATTCTCCTTCTGCACCAAAATGTCAAAACCCCCATGTTTGGTGGGGCAAAGAGTTTCATCTCAAAGTTCAAGCTCTGCTTTGTTGTGTTACAACTGTAGATCTATCCTAATTCACAGGGGAACTATGTATCTCAGGTTCATCACTGCAAGAACAAATATCAAATGAGATGGTTTGGCCTTCTTGAAGTAATTCAATTTAACCCTGCTCAAACAAGGAAATTCTGTGGACACATAAAAGGTGGTTACAAACTGAACTGAATTTGCAATAGGCAGGAAATTTTTAGATGAGAGCTTTACTCTCTCCTGGGGCTGGCAGTTTTTTTCCTTGTCATAGCTTTGTCAGGTAGGAAAGCTCAGTTTTGTGCAGCTCTGGTAATTCCAAGCAGCTCAGCTAACATATCCACCCATGTTTGGACAGCAATAGAGAGAGGCTAGATTTTGGCATCTAGATAAAGATTCCCCAGTATCATGTGTGCACAGTCTTTTTGCAAGGATCTCTATTTATTTTGTATAACCTTTTTTACCATCTGTGGTGAAAAAAAAAACCCAAAAACCCTCTCCTAGACATCAGAATGTTTCCTAACCAGAGCTCTCTTCTATGGGTGACACATTCTCCTTGCATTCCTGGTAGGGTAAGGCTTCTCTTGGCTTTGACAGATGCTGAGGGTAACACACTGGAAAAGTGGACCATTCTTTTCAGAAAGTGGACATACTTTTCAGCATTTCTCTATTAATGTTTAATGATTGTTTTCTCCAGCAGAAGGTCCTGGCTGGACATTAAGAAGTCTCTGTGTCAGGATGTCCAATTGTTAACCTCTCTTTCTGCCTAAATCTCTGAAATTTTTAACTGAAGGAGGGCAAAAGATTCAGAACATTCTCAGGAGCCACTGGAGGGTGTAAAGTGAAACACTTCAATCATTAACACCAGGGGAGAAAAACATCCCTTTGGCTTCCCTTCCCCAGTTCCTGTGGCTGTGCAGGGGACAAATGGCCAGGGGGTGACCCCACTGGCCAGCTGGACATGGATCCCCATGGGTGTGATTGCAGTGGGAGGTGGGCACAGCCCAGAGGGACAGCAGTGTCCAACAGCAGGGACTGTACTTCTCCCCACTTCCCAGGATGGAGTGTGGTCCTGGTTCTGCACTTGGTAGGAGCTGTCTGCAAGCAGCCCACACTGGTGGGAGGTCCTGGGACAGTCTAGCATGGTCCTGCTCATGGCATTTGTCCTGAGTATGAGATATTTCAGGTGCTGTCTACTACCTGCTGTTTCTGCTGGATTTATAACTGGTTTAGCACAGAGCATTATTTGATCTCTTTCTCTGCCTGTAACTGAAGAGGGGCCCTCACTCCCATCCTTGAGTGCAGTACAGGAATGCTGAGCTTTCCCTCTTGCTGACATGAAATGATTTTTTGTCTCAGTCTCTGCATCACCCAAATAACTTTTCCCTGCCTTTGTAGGTAGCACTGCTACGTGCACACGCAGGGGAGCATCTGTTACTGGGAGCTGCCAAGAGGTCCATGGTGTTCAAGGATGTCTTGCTGCTAGGTAAAAATTGCACTTCTGCTCCGAGCCCATCTGCTTCTGTGATCCTTCCCTGCTGGGGTGGAGGAAAGGGTGGTCCAGTGTTTGGGGACATCCTTTTTGAAGGGTGGTGGCTTGAGCTGTTCTGTATTTTAGCAAGCCCAGCACAACCCTTGGGTGCAGCTAGGCCTGGCTGACATTGACATCAAGGTCATGAGGTGTGGCAAAGTTGGGGACTGTGTGAACGTTCATAGTGCACCCCCAGGTTTGTGTAAGCAGGCTGTGGTGGAACTGAGAAAAAAGCTCTCACTCCTTGGTCAGCTTTTCCTCACTTGAGTGGCTCTTGTGTAATGAGAAGCTGCTCTGGCAACACAGATCAAAATTTCTGGTGTTCTGAGACAGAGTAGGGGCTGACGGAGGAACTTCTTAATTCCTCCACCCCAAAATTCTCTCAGCATTAGCTACCTGCTAATGTTGAAGTCCTTGTCACCCCAGCTAAGTTTGAGCAATGACAAGGTGATGTTCTCTGTGCTGCTTGTCTGAAGGCAATGACCACATCATCCCACGGAACTGCCCCGAGCTGGTGGAGGTGAACCGTGTGGCCATCCGCATCCTGGATGAGCTGGTGCTGCCCTTCCAGGAGCTGCAGATAGATGACAATGAATATGCCTGCTTGAAAGCCATCATCTTCTTTGACCCAGGTATGGCCCAGCTTGGTGAGGGTTACCATCAGAGAGGCCTAGTCTGGATTATGCTGACTAACACCAGTCCTGAGTGGTGGAAAAGCTTCCTGGTCTCTTCGGGCCAAACTGTTCTTAGAGAGGGAGGAGAGAAGTCAGTCTTGAGAAAAATTGTCCATCACAGCAGACAATGGGGAATCAGAGGCAGCTCCCCTCAGGCTGACTTCATGCTGTCACTGGCAGGCAGCTCCCAGGGCAGCAGCCTGGAGAGTTGGCTGTGTGGGTCGTTGCAGATGCCAAGGGGCTGAGTGACCCGTCCAAGATCAAGAGGATGCGGTACCAGGTGCAGGTGAGCCTGGAGGATTACATCAACGACCGGCAGTACGACTCGCGGGGCCGCTTCGGGGAGCTGCTGCTGCTGCTGCCCGTGCTGCAGAGCATCACCTGGCAGATGATAGAGCAGATCCAGTTCGTCAAGCTCTTTGGCATGGCTAAGATTGACAACCTGCTGCAGGAGATGCTGCTGGGAGGTGAGTACTTGAGGGTGTGACAAGAGGCCTCTTGGCATTCCCTGACTGTTGTCCCCTTGAGACCCTCCTTAGTCACTTCTCTCTATCTAGCAAAGTTAGAGACCGCCAGTCTGCATGTCAGCCCCTGACTCACACAAAATCATCTCCCCTGTCCTTGACAGGGGTCACCAAGGGCCCTCTACTTCTTCTCACCTAAAGAGATGCATCAGCTGTGCCTCTGTTTACAGGGAGGCATCCCCAGCCCTCTGCACACAGACAAGCTTTGCTGTGCACCCCTGACTCCAACCTGGCAGCCATTTCACCAATCCTCCCCTGTCAGAAGGGACTCATCAAAACAAAAAGGTCTGAAAGCTCAGGTTGAAAGAACAGCCTAGATTTTCTAGTGGGAGCATCCAATGGAACAAAACGAAATGAAAAGTTCCCACTGTGCTATTCTGCACGTGGAGGTGTGACTAAGGAATATAATCCTGTATAAGAGGATATGCAGGCAGCAGGCAGGGGTTAGTTAGTTAGTTCAAGGCATGCATGGAGGAAAAAGGGAAGGGTGTGCTCCAGTCACTTGTGCACAAGGTGATGGTGCACAAAGCCTTGGACATTTGGGTGCAGTGGGTCTGCCCATCTGAACTGTCTCCTTCTGCCATTGTGGCCATTAATGTCTTCTGCATGTTCTTAGGCTCATCGAGTGAAACGCCGCACACCCACCACCACCTGCACCCTCACCTGATCCAGGAGAACCTGGGAACAAACGTCATTGTGGCCAACACAATGCCTCCTCAGATGCACAACGGGCAGATGTGTGAGTATATCCAGAGAGACAGAGAGCTCCTGGGAGAAACCAGGAGCTTTCCAGTGGGCCTGTGGAGGTAGTTTCTACCTTGCATGGAAATCTGCAAGCAAGACAAAATCTCGGGTAATGAGTGTGTGAGAAATTCCTATGCAGAAAGGAGGGAAAGACAAACAGAGAGGTAGGTTAGATTAGATTAGGACAGACTAACTGATTCAACAAGATACTCCTTGGCAGACTACAACTTTTACATAGCCCTTAAGGGATGAATGGTCCTATCCAGAGCTTAGTGAAATCAGTAGAAAGGCTCCCCTTCCCTTGAGTGGTTAAGACACACTTCAATTTGTCCTCTGTAAAAACACAGGAGGATCTGGCCCACCAAATGGGGCCACCAATGGGGACCTTGTGCTGAGATGAGCTTGGCTGACCAAAAATGTGATTAGTAGAGGTCAAAATGTCAGCAGCTCCCCTTATTTGATGTTGGTTATTGTGGTTCTCCTGGGGCATCAAACCATGCCTGTGTGTCTGGGCTGCCCTACAGCAAACACACAAGCCCTTAAGAGCCTCTGCTGTGCTGACATCTGAACCCTGCACGACTGAGGACAGATCCCAGAGCTGTAAGGTTTGTGAGGCCCTCTTTTAATTCGGTTTCTCTCTCTTCAGCTACTCCAGAAACTCCACAGCCTTCTCCACCCGCGGGCTCAGGATCAGAGCAGTACAAGCTGCTGCCTGGAGCCATTGCAACCGTGGCAAAGCAGCCCACGTCCATCCCACAGCCTGCCATCACAAAACAGGAGGTCATCTAGCACCCCCACCCAGCCAGCCTCCTTCGGAGCACCGTGTGGGAGAAAAGCCCAAACTGACTCTGCCACTGTGAAAAGAGAAGCCATCCAGAGGTCCCTGGGCACCGACACACACACTTGCTTTTTGGACTGACCATCACCAGAAGGTGTCTTCCTGCAGCTACAGACAGCACGGGCCATGGGCAGCCCCAGAGGCCCAGAACTAAGGCTGTAGCCTTGCCAAAACCCTCAGTCCTTGTAAGGAGGGCCAGATTCCTGCCTCCCTCTGCGGGGAGGTGGCAGTGACTGGCTGGGGACAGGCTGCTGCCCCACTGCCACCACAGCATTGGTTCAGCACACAGCAGACCCTGTGAATGAGCAATTCCCTGGGCCGTGGGAGTGGAGGGCTTCCCTCCCACAGCCATGCCAGCCCCCCTGACAGTCCCCAGTCCAGCCAGACTTGGTGGAGGTGGAAGCTCCCCCAGGAGCATCACAGCAGGTGAAGCACATGGGGCTTGTCCAGGCAGCACTGCCAGAACTGCTCCTCAGCCTTGGCTAGTCCCAGGTCTTTGCGTGGTGTCACCCACCAGCACACTGAGCCCCCCAGCCAGACCTAACAAATCTTTTCAGCTGATACTGGGACAAAGTCTGGCCCACCAAGATACTCCACTATTTGGATCCCTCTGCCTCTTGAGGGGTTTTGATATTTCTGTGCCATGCCTGCCCTCTCACCACAATGCTCAGAGAGGCAGCCACTGCCAAGCCCTTCCCTTGCACCACTCACTGCCTCCTGGAAATTAGAGGGACCTTGGGATTCCAGAGATTTCAGCTAATGGGATGGGGTCACCCTTTACAGGCTGGCAGCACTGCCCAAATATCTGGCCAACTACTGCTTGTCAGCAGACAAAAGACCACTGGATGCCTATTTGGAAGGAAGTGGGGGAAAGATGTAGGAAGGGGAAAGACCTATGGGGTGAGAAGAGCTTGAGCCTCACAGATTGGACCAAGGTCTTGGGCGATCTAAGTGCTGGGAGCACTGGGGCCCAGGATCTCAGTTCAGACCCAACTTAATGCTAAGATATGCCACACAATCTACTTCTCCAGTGCAGTGCCACTCCTTCAGCTTAGAGTGAGTGGCTGATAACAGATTTATAGGTCTTCATAACATGATAAGAATTCTTTATGACTCCTTCAGGCCTCAGAGTGTTTGAGCACACCAGCCTCAAAAATACAATTATTGTCCTGCAGAGAAAAGCAACAGAGGTCCAGCAATAACCCTGTCTCACCCAAGCCCCTTGGGTCTGCCCCAGCCTTGGGTCTGCCCCCCCTGCTCTGCTCCCTCCTGCCCCTGTCCCCGTTCTTCTGTGCCCTCCTGTGCCAAAACCCTGCAGATCTGACCTTTGGTTTACAGCTGAAAGCAGGAAAGGAGCCCTCCTGCACCCAGCGCCTGCTCCAGGTGCCAGCAGGGCTGGAGCGCCCGAGCCCTGCACCACGCAGGCCTGAGCCACTGCTGGCCTCTCGGGAGGATGAGGATGGTGGCCCCACGGCTGCCAGGAGGTCTCTGGTGGGGACAAATCTGAGCCAGCTCAGCCAGAGGAGCTGCAGGTGTGTCCCCTGCTTTCCAATGCAAAATGAAACACCTCGTGCTGGCGGTGTCAGAGGTGTTGCATGGTCCCAATGCTGGTGGCATCGTACCAAGTAATTTATTGCAATGGTGAATCCAATCATTTCCTGTAAATTATTTTGTAAATCACATTGATTATTTATAATTGGGAGATTAAATGCAAAAAAAAAACAAAAAACCAAAAAAAAACCCCAACCCTGTAGTAACCAGGCTGTCTTTTCCAACTGCAGCAACCTTTTTTTCTGTACGTAGACATACTTTGTGGGGAATCCTTTTTGGTCCATTTGCACCAAGTGTTCCTCAATATTGTACATTAATTTTTTCTGGTTTCTGCCTTCCAATGGAAACAGAAGAATATTTCTTCACAAGAGTTTGTATTCATAAAAAAAAAAGGAAAAAAAAAAAGAAAAATAAATGCAAAAATATTTTCTAACTTTTCCCAGACAGATGGATTTCTTTTTTCTGGGAGGATTTATTTTAAATCAAGGGGCTAACCCCCCTGTTGGTCTGAGCACAAAGCATATGTGTATGGAGAAAAAAGCACAAACAAGTGTTTGATGCTGTTGCCAGCTGTCACTATTTCCTGGCAAGCCCAATGTGTCTGTCCTGAAGCCACGTGTGCTGGAATCATAAGATTGAATGACAATCCAAATTTTCATTAAAAGAAAAACAAACATGGAGAATAAATATTTACTTTCATGATTCCAGGGAGCTTAAAGGCTTGAAGTAACCACATTCTGAAAGCCAAGCAAAGGAAGCTAAAATATATTATTCACATTTCAAACATGTTCATTTTATGTTCCTCTTGTATTTCAAAGGTAATTTCTGAGTACTTTGGGGCGAGTGATTGTCCTTTGTTTCAAACACAGCCACCCTACTGCTGGCAGCAGGTGGGAGCCAGACTGAGCCTATGGGGCACAGTAAGATGATCAAGTGAAAATCAATTTATCACTGGCTGTAAAGGTGAAGAAATACACTGGCAATTAGAGAAGGCTCTTAATGACCTGCTTTTCTGACCACGGGAGCCTGTGCTCAGCTGTAGCATGGCCAGGAAGAGAACAGGAAGAGAGGAGAGAGGTGTAGATGGCTGTAAAGATGAGGTCTCTGGGAAGGAACAACACCCAGCATTTCCAGCTCTGGTCTGCAGGAGCTGGCCCTCATGTTCCCCCATCTCCTGCCTCTGATGAGAGTCGAGGTGAGCAGTCTCATCCTGGGTACAAGGGATGAGAAGCAGCCTCATTTTCCATCCCATCAGCACATCCAGTGGTGTCCCAGTGACAGTCATGCTGGTGAAAACTGCCAGCAGGGATGAGATGCAGGGACAAGATCCAGACTGTGTTTGAGGGCTGTGTGGAGACAGCATTTACAGCCTGTCTCCACTCTGAGTCAAGGACCTGGGAGAACAGGACAGGTCTCAAATAACCTGCCCTCACTACCTGTGCACCTGTGATGATCCAGAGCCCCAGCAGCACTGCTGAAAGCCTGAACAAGGGAACCAAAGACAGTCACAGGACATGTGCTTCCAGCACACACAGGACTGAGTGGTTAGTCCAGTCAAGGGAAAGAAAAGGACTTAGTTCATTCTTTTTAAAATAAAAAAACCCTGGGACTCCTCTGCTATGATTCATGGTTGGTTTTACCTGGGTATATGCCCTAAAACTCCCTATATGTAATATCAAATCTTCGAAGCAATAAATTCTCCTGGACTCCTTCCCATGAACTGCTCTATCAAGGTTGCCCTTTACCTGGTTAATCTTAAATCAGTGCACTTCCTACAGGAGATTTCTTATTGCTGGATTCGGCTCACTTGGGAAAAAACTGTCCCAGAAGCAGCCTTGTCCTTAATTGGCAACCTCAATCCCAACTCTCACCTCTTTTGTCTCTCCACCCTGGAATCACCCTGAAACACTGGTCTTGCCACTCGTGGGCTGTGTTTTACCCTGCTGGGTTCCCTGGAACCTGCAAGCCATGTCCCATGTCACAGGAGATGGCTCTGAGGATTGGCCTTTGACACACAACTTCCCTGACATTGTTTTTGAACACAAGAGCTTTCTGTGCCTGCAGCTCAGCCTAGGGATGATTTCCTGGAGAGCACCATCTCCAGCTGAGGAATCTTTTCATCATGTCCAAGCAAAGATCTGTGAAAGTGGTATTTTTAGGTCCTTTGGCCACTATGAAATGCATTCTTTTCATATTCCTTATATAACTTCCATCTGAAAGAGCCAGCAGGCTTTGGAGCCTTTTCCACAGCTTTCATATCTTAGTGGGAGGGGGGAAAAAAAAGACAAACAAGTTTTATGGCCTGCATATCATCTCTGACAAAAGCAACTATTGCTGCTATTAAACTTACAAGTGCACACACAGGCACAGATAGTCATGAACACCAAGAGGCAGCAGGGACAGCTCAGCAACGTGGCACTGCTGAGCCAGGCAATTCCATGTGCCAGGCTGGCCAGTTCCCTCTGGGCTTAATGCAAATATCACCAACCAGCTGGGGAACCCAGGCCACACACTGCACAAGTCCTTTCCACTCAGAGAGGCTGGAGGAGGAATGGTAAGGTGTGGGTATGTCTAAAATCCCTCTCCCCATTCCAAACCGAGGTGTGACCCTGGCAATCATAAACACACCTAGCACCTGAAAAATTGCCAGCCAGGCCAATAAAAATGGCAATATAGTGTCAGCTTCGTTATGTGACAGCAAGCAGGAGAGCTTGGCACAAACAACCCTGCAGTCACAACCTGCAGTTCAGTGTCCTGTGAGAGAGAAGAGGCTGCTGGGTCCAACAGAGTGCTCTCAGTTCAAACCCAGGGGAAGAAGAGCTCTGAGTCTAACCCAGGTCTGGGAAAGAAGGTGCTTTGGGAGATGTATTTCCTAGCCTTGCTCTGGCTTTGGGTCTGGAGTGATGCCAGGCTTGTGTGATCGTGACCAAAATCTTCCAGAGGCCTGAGGGCACCCTAACACTAAACCTGGGGTTTAGTTGTGGGTTACACAAAGCCCTGGGTTCTGCTGCCAGGCTCCACTCCAACCCCTCCCATCTGGCAGCTCTGCCTGGCTGGAACCTGCAGTCCCTTGGGACCCCATGGATTCACAAAGACCAGAGAGCCCTTGTGAGCCTGGGGGACCCCACAGCAGATGAGGGGTCTGGGGGAGCTGTTGTGATTCCCCAGCTCCTCCTAGAAACTGCTCTGGGTGCAAGAAACAGCACAAGAGCTGCCTGAGGGAATGCCTGGATAGACACCCACCACAGAAAGCATCCCAAGTCAGACAGGAATTCCTCTCTGCTGCTGCCAAGGCAGGTGTCAGCACTGGCTGGTGGAACAGGACAGGTTCCCCCTCACTGACTGGGAAAGTCATTACAATAAAGTAACTCATAATGCTCTGCTCCTTTCCAGGACTCTCCAAAACACCACTGTGCCTTAAAAACACGTTTTAATTAATCCTGCTGATGGGTTACTTACCATTAACCACCGACATGGAGCATACTGGCTCAAGAATATCCTGGAACCCACTCAGAGCTGATTTGCAGGGACAAGCCACTGAGAAAAAAGCTTGAGGCAGAAGCAGCAAAGAGAAACCTTAGTGGCAAACCCAGAATGCCTGACTCAGACCTACAGCACAGATAAAGAACAACCACTGGGATCCTCACTTCTCAGTGGGTTTTAGCCCCCTCTTAACCATATTCTAAGGTGTGGGATTAGAGTGGCACTTTCTCACCTGGGAGAGCACACGAGAGACCTGCTGTGCTGCACA